TTTGAAGTTAGGAACATAAAAGTAAGTAAAGGAACAGTATCTGAATGTTTTGTTGTTGCAGAAACTTGAATAGGCGATTCCTTAGGGGTTACAACCACACAGAGATCAGAACCCTGCAGGGACTGTCCTCCTCTGCTGAGATCCTGACACCAGGAAAGTTAGTTTTGTAAATGATGATGCCACAGTTTAACCTGATTACTCAAACATCTGTATAGGAGTGTTGGGGGGTCGCTGGAGAGGGGCCAATTCACCTCCTGTGCCCTATGGAGGTGCCCTAGAGCAAGGCACCGAACCCCCACACAATTTGCTGTGAACATGTTCCCATCAGGATAAAAGAGCCATTTCTACAACATTAATAATAATCTCATTAATAATAATAATAATAATAATAATAACAATGATACATGGGATTTATACAGCACTTTCCCTATGCTCAAAGATGCTTTACATAAAATCAGAACAGAAACAATACAAAGAAAAAACAAAACAACAACTTCTATACAATTGTCCGCTTGTGGTACAATGAACAGATAACACTGTTTGATTTTGGATACTCCATACTCTAGAATTTTAAAAGTGCATTCAGATTAGCGATCACACTTCTAAAAACCAACATAACCTTTTTAGATTTTGAACGATGTTTTTGCAGTTTCGTCTTCACAAACTGTAAGTTATTCAAAATATGTGAAGACCTAAAGTTCTGAAGCTTTTGAGTTTTTATGTTTGTGTTTACATGAAAAGAGACCGTCATTTTATACCATTCCCTTATAAGCTTGTTCTGTATATAAATCACTACTGGTCTTGTGTGTGTGTGTGTGTGTGTGTGTGTGTGTGTGTGTGTGTGTGTGTGTGTGATGGTTAAATGTGTGTGTGATGGTTAAATGTGTGTGTGTGTGTGTATGTATGTGTGTGTGTGTGTGTGTGTGTCTGTGTGTGTGTGTGTGTCCTGGAGGCCTCAGAGCTCCCTGGTGTCTCAGTGACCGGCAGGTTAATTGAATTAAAAGCCGCAGTGAGGCGTTCAGGAGGAACTCCAGCCTGCAGACTGGCCTTCTGTCTTTACCTTCATACTTCTCTCTTTGCTTCCTCTTTCCATTCGGTCATCCTTAGTTTCTCTGAATCTTTAGAAGTGTGCGCTCTGGAAAGGCTTTCATAAGGATTGAGCGCCTTGTCTGACGCAGCGCTCAGTCGGTTTTACAGTTCTTAAAAAACTTGTTTGATGCGGAGTTCTGTTCATTTATCACGAAACTGGGAAAGCCATTACTTCATCTACATGTTTTGTGTCCATGGCGGCATTTTCAGGGGAAAGTCCTCCACAAACTGTTTGAAGTCATTATAACAATTTAGCGACTTGGCGCGCCTTGACGGGAGGGCTACACATCAATCTGTAAATATAAAAATCATGGGATGGTTTAAGACGAACGGGGCGATATGCTCATTGAAGTTTCGCAAGGAATGTTTATTAGATGACGGAAGTTCTCATATTCAAAAGTTTCATCAAAATCTCTACATTGCTGTATTTTCTTGCTGTGGAGTTTGGAAGCATACTTTGTTGAAAGATCAGCAGCCAAAGTTTCATCATGCAGTGAGTCCCTGTTGATCCCAGGAGCTTTCATTAGCGTCTCTACACACATCTATTACTGGGCCTCTCTCTTTGCTCCCTCCGGGCTAATTACCATCAGAAGCTGTTGATAAGTGTTTGTTTCGAAGCAGCTCACAGCGGACCTCATTAAAGATTGTTTCAGAAACATTAACACTCATTACTGGCTGCTGTGGCAACAGTGATGAGACCAGACCACTAGGGGGCGGTGTCCTCCCCAGAGCTCCAAACATGCAACAGTTTAAAGTTTTTGATCAACTTTTTTGGTTTACTGTTCACAACAAAGTTCTACAATCCAAAACTCTCGATATTCTCTACACATCCAACATTTGTTATGCTGTTGGACAATAGGATTTATCATGATCTTTTATTGGTCAGAACTGTACAATAAACCCAAATAGTAAACATCATAACTCTGTGTGTAAAAGAGAGAAGATTAAACATTTTAAAACATTTTTTTACAAGCATTATACTCAAAAGGCTTCTTCTCTGACATGCTGTGTTCTGTCTTCTCTCTGATGCTCGGCCATTGTTCTGTTAGATGTCTTCCAGCAGGCCGATGCTGTTTAGCAAAGAGGGAAGGTTCTGTAAATATAAAGCTCCAGATTCCAAGCCAACATTATATATTTAAAAAAGCTATATTCAATCACATGAAATCAATAAGCCCCTGTGTCCCCCTTGAGATGTATGAGACCCTTACTTTGGCCCCCAGGTTGGGAGTGTAATGGGGCACGGTGTTCACCTAGGATGACCCTTTTTGTAGAGATTGTGGACATGAGCCAAGAAAGCATCATTAAGATATGACAGATGTTTTAACAATATTCTTGAGTGCACAGCTGAACCAACCCAACCATGTCAAGCCCTCGCCTGTAGTTAGGTTATACCCAGTGTTTGTGTCACAGCCGTTATCACAGAACAGCAAAGGCCAACACTCTGCCAGCCCGCTCTGCAGCAGCCAGTCATGAGACCGTGTGAAGAACAATATTTACTATAAGACTTATGAACTAGCTGCAATGATATTTGAATGAGGGCAAATGTACATTTGTTACAGTGAGTAAAAAGCCACAAATAGCTTAGTATTAATAAGCAAGTATGCATAAAATATAAAAAATATAAGTAGACTACGCAATTTAAAATTCACTTAAAACACATCCAGTACCAGTAACAGTTTTGAAAGTATAGCAGCCAGTAGAAAGTATTAAAGGTGGAAGTATAGTAGTATACAGTATATTGCACAGTTATTCATGGAATAAATATATACAGTATATATATATTGCACAACAGGAGTGTTTTAGTCTTTGTTGTTGTGTGTGGGGGATTTATCTATATACAGCCTGACCGCTGCAGGAAGGACCTGTGGTATCTATCCGTGAGACACCGGGGGGAGGGGCAGCCTGTCACTGAAGGAGTTGCACAGTGAGGACAGGGTGTCCTGGGGGGGTTGGGACTATACAGTCTATGGTTGGGACACGTTGTCCAGCAGGGAGGACAGCTTGGCTGCTATTCTCCTGCCTCCCACCACCTCCAGAGGACCCCCCAGGACAGAGCTGGCCTTCTTAACCAGTCTGCTCAGGCGCTTCCTGTCAGCAGCCGCGATGCCGCAGCCCCCACAGACTCATAGATAGTCTACTCCACAGTAGTTCATATAAAAAAAACACTGACCTCCCAGGTATCCTAATATTTGGTGACTTAATAAATCAAATGATACATTAACACTGAACAGGAAGGTTTGTTAACAGGTTTTTGTTTGTGTCGTTGACTAAATAAATGCACGATGACATTCAGTATACATGTTCAGGACTTAATGAGAATTGTGTGAACATATGTTTTGGGCAGGCTGGAGTTTAACATTTATTTTAAACGTTTTAGCTCCATCTACTGCCATCGTGTTGCTACTGCAGGGTAGGGTAACGAGCAGGCATGGGGACTTTTAGGAGTTCATTATCTCTTTAATGGTTATATGTCTGCATGCTGATAATGATGATGATCCTGTCTACCTCGTTAATAGCCCATTATTTTGACATACATTGCAGACTTATCTTTTATTAGCAGTGGGTATATTCTGAGGAAAGAAGTCAAAAGAAACATTCAGTAAACAAAGCATTTTTAATAAGAAATCTTGAATCAACCGTGTGTCATGTGTGAATATGTCTCTTGACCAACACCATACAAACAAGACGTATTAAAGAAGTTTGGCTTTTTTTTGCGTTACAAATTCGAGTAGCTTTTTTTACTTTTGGAAAAAGCGTACACATTTTAATTCAATCCAACATTTGTTCAGAAATCATGTGTTGATAGGGACATATGAGTAAAAGTGTTTATCTTTCAAAGCTATTTACTCCTTTTAAAACCACAACGTATCATAGCATTTTAATCTTGTAAAATTGGGTAAACTCTCAGCCAATCTCCCAACAACATAAAACATCATTATATTTTATTAATTTGAATAAATCAAAACTTCTGAACACATGGTGATAATACTTGTTACGGTCATTTCTTGCAGTGAATAAATATGTGCCTTCGTGAGAAAACCACAACGATTATCACTCGTTTCTTTGTGCAGATACGATGCATGGGATGAGTAACTCATGCGGCTCCAAAACTCACAATGTGAGGGATTCATTATGCAGGATTATCTCTGAGTCATTATTAAACATCCTCAGTCATCGGTCCGCTGGGAACCTTTTATAAAGACTGTGTTTTAACATTTTATTAGAAGAAAGGATTTGTTTTAATAGAGCATTTCGACTCGCCTGTACCCGGAGGACCAACTGTGAGCCGTCTGTGGCCCAAGTATCAACAGATCTATATTTGATTTAGCAAAACTCAGGCCGGGTCCAAAATCTGCTATTTTACAACCAATGAATTCTTCATTTGTTTGAGAGTAACAGTTGGTCGATTGACACAGAATTCATTGATGCATATTCTGATCATTCAAAACCTCAGGTAATTTGAGCTTCAGTAGTTTAACGAGATGAAGGGGAAAGATGTTAATATTCGTTATGCTTTAATAAAAGATACATAGACTAAATGAAAAAAGACTTCTTGTCCCAAATACCCCACATCTCAACGTGATGAGTTCAAAACAATCCTGCATGCATTTAAGAAACACTCAGAAGGTCTTGATATAAAAAAGTGTGGCACACTTTAACGTGATTGTGTGTGTGTGTGTGTGTGTGTGTGTGTGTGTGTGTGTGTGTGTGTGTGTGTGTGTGTGTGTGTGTGTGTGTTC